CTGTGTGAAAGGAGATTTAATTAATAAGGGATTGTTGGAATCCGGGAGGAAAGTGGACACCGATTATATTTTGTACTTGTACTTGCGGATTCCGAATTGCAAGGCGCGAACTTCACGAAGAGAAGAGAACGTTTGTTTTTGCTGCTGTGTATTAGACCGACTGCTCTTAACTATACTCGCTTGCTTTCTATAATGATGTTCTAAGGGATTTTTCGGGTATACTTATTGTTTAGCCGTAAAATAGAATAAACCTAAGGGAATCCTGTAACCGGATTTATGGCTTCAAAGGTGGTTACGTCGCAGGCAACTATTTTGTTTTCAGCAGACAAAGGTGTCCTTTTTCGCGTTGCGTGCGACACTCGGTCACTAGGACTCGAGAGGCCATAAATCCTGGAGTCTCCAAGAGTTCAAGAGACCAGTGTCGAACTCTAATTATTGAAAATAACCAGTCCGGCGTAACAGTCAATAATAAAACGAGAGAACCAAGGTGAATCGACGTGAATTTTGTTTGAAATCCTTTCCCACGTCAAGAAGCCGTCGGGAGAAGTTTGCAACTAAACACTTATAAGGAAGGGATTTGGGGGAGAAGGTGAACTTGGTTCTGGTGACGAATTGTTGGATAGGACTATCAGCGGGTCGATGAGTAGCTTGTTTTCGACATTATAGGGTTCATCTTTAGAGTGACTTCGTGACTCAATGTCAATAGACGGTTGGTTATCCAACAGGATTTTAAAAGAAGAAGCATTCAGAAATATGGCAGAGATGGGCAACTGTGTCATAAAGCCAAAATCTTAATAATAGCTTGCCTTGGGGCGCAACAGTGACTTTGGAAGTTTATTTAAATCATGATAGAAAATATCTAATGTCATCATCTTATAGATCTTTTGAATCCGTAGAATTTATGACAAAAAAAAATTTCATCAGTTTACTAACAATGAAAGTAATAGAAGTGGTTGTTGGGTTTCGCGGAAGACACGATCACGTTGCTTTAGTCTATTACTGTTAGTACAAGAATTAGGTTTTCTGGATTTTGTGGTTATACTTACAGTGTATCGGATGACCATTTTTCTCGAGCCTTTACCGTGTATAAGTAAGGCTGTGATGACAAAATCCTTCCTAATTAAAGGTTATTAAGGCAGCCTCGAAAACATTGTGACGCACAATGGTAGAAAGTTAAATAATTACTAAAGGCGTAGTCATCCTACATGATCACGTTATGCGGTTCACTCTGTATGCAGATATGCAAATATGCAAAGTGTTTCAGTGCACGCAGTAATTTCTTACGAAAAAATGACGGAATAAAATTTTTGAATGTTTGAAGCAGTGGACATTCGAAACTGTTTAAACAGATATTTATTCGAGAGCTATTCGAATAATATAGAGAAACTTGAATTGTTTTTTAGTTACAGTATTGATCGAAGTCATCCACACAAACGAATGAGAGTGAATTGGTCAAATGTGTTTCGAAAATTATTGGACTGGATTTCCAGTATCGATTGCAAAGCTATAAACTCGATAAAAATTCTTTGCATTAGTCTTTACTTGTTTAATCTTGTTGATTAAAGTATGGTAATACTTCTTTTTCCTTTATTTTTATTAAAATGAATATGACATAAAATTTTGCAACCGATATCAGAACTTAAAATGTTTAAACATTTGTTAGTTGAATCAGGTTCACCTGCTCTCGTTTGAGATCCATACGAAATGACTCGAGCATTACTGTAACTCGCAAAAATTAGAGTTTAGCAGCATTATACTTATTTCGGGTGAAAGAAACGAGCCTTACTCGGTCCGAATTTCGAATACTCGGACAGCTCTACTCTTCACGAATGACATGGATTTACACTGTCCTCGAGGTTTGCACGGAAATCAAATCAGAAGGGAGTGGAAAATCGAGGAAGGAGGGGAAAGGGGCAGATGATTCAAACGCGATGACCCTACATCCGCCAACTTGATTCAATCGCAACGTTGATGCTATTTTTATGGACATAATTACACGTATGTATCTGGTATCTCGCCCTCGTCCCTTTAAAAAGAGGGAGTTTCGTGATAGACAGGAAATGTGTTCAACATGATTCATCTAACACATTGTGTCCGGAGAGAGAACAGGGTTCTATACACTCTCATCTGTCTGATACTTAATTGGATACAGTCGCAATCAGCACTTTGTGTAGTTTTTACATCGGCATATAGGAATGTGATTATTGAGGACCTTTAATTAGCGAATAAAGATTGACTCAATTGACTGCAGAGAAAAAAAACGTTTATTGATAGAAATGAAATACAAAAAAACGGAGGCGAAAACCCAAGTGAAAAACAGTAACATTTGTTATATACTCGGCATCGCCCCACGGTCAGCGGACCCATGGCTTTTATGGCCCGGCCTGGGTCTCTACGTTAAGCAGAGAAACTCGCAGTAGGAAAGTAAAAATTCAAAATATAATCTATTCTCAATAGTGATTTATACAGACTTTCTGCTATATATGCTCTCAATATGGCTTTTAATGGTGCCAGTCACCATCAGTTATGATTGAAAGGAAAAAAGGTGAACTTATTGCAGCAGATTATTGATATAATCGATCAAACATCTTACACATATATAAGGTGTTTAAGAAAAAAGACCAGTTAGAACTTACGGGTAGTACCATACGTGTTAAATGGAGTAAAAATTGCTTGACAAATATCGATTAGAAAATTAATCCTATTGCAGTTAGGAGTGATTTTTAAATGTTAGTAATACGAGTGACTTATTTGAATAAGATTGAAAATAAAAGATTCATTATACAGGGTGATTCACGTAATTTATTAAATGTGTGTCTTACAAAAAAATATTTTATATTCCACGTAATATTAAATTTTTTTACGGAGTACCTTTTTGTGTGTCAAAATTTGGAAGAACGATGAATTCCCTGTGAAGGATATTAAGTTTTGTAGCGTGAGGTTTATTTAAATCCCACTGGGTGGTTGTGAGGTCGTATTACAGCTAAACGGAAGCGATTATGCCTCGAAAACGGTTGGCGAGAGTGCGCGAATTTGACGTGAGTCAAGTTCGGCTTGACCAGGTCTCCCAAAGGAGGGGGAGGGGGTTAGGTGGAATAGGTTGGAGTGAAGAAGTTCGGCTTGACCAGGTCTCCCAAAGGAGGGGGAGGGGGTTAGGTGGAATAGGTTGGAGTGAGGGAGAGAGAGAGGGAGAGAAACTATCGTCTGTAACCCGCGAAGGAGACGTCTGTTGTTTCGGGGAAGGTGTCTTGGATAGTTGGAGCTAACCTAGAGGTGTCGCTATGACCCGCGAAGGAGCGTCTGCCTCTAGGAGGTGGATAGGTGAGGATTGCGAGGGTAGAGACAGGACAGGAAACCTGGTCCTGGAGTCTTCGGTCGCTCCGTACTGACTGTCGCAAAACAAGGAGTGTCGTCTGTAATCCGCGAAGGAGACGTCTGCTCGGTGTACGCTTGAGTAGTCTTAGTCGGCTTCCCGTAAGAACTGACTTTCTATGGCAAAAGGCCGTCTGTTATATGTTTTAGGAAGGCGAGACCCAACCAATCAGGGTGGGTCAAGCCTTTTCGCAGGGTTGGGGGCGCACGAGCCGCTGTCTGCTACCTGAGGCCACGGGGGGTCTAGCGAGTACGCAGCTCGTACTCGGTATGGTAGCGAAAAAAAAGCGGTTACTCTACAGTTTTATCTATTCCGTATCTAATAGTTAGGAATAAATACATACAAAACGTGCAGAACGCAAGGTGGACACGAATTCGTGGTACAATCGTGTTGCAGTGATTTCTCATAAAAAAATAAGTCGAAAATTCGTGCTAAATTTTTGTCCATTAGTGTGCCTCGAATCATCAATATTAATACTGCAAATATAACGATTCCATGCGTTATACCTCACCATTGCACAGTGTTTCGACTAATGGATAGAAATAAAAATGCGAAGTGTCTTCATAATTTCTTCTACATTAAAACGTTATCATAGAAACGTAGGTTTTAATATTACCCGAATTTTTACTAAATATACTAATTCGTTTTCAAAATTGAGACCAGAAGTTTATTGCAAATTACAGTGCAATTTTTTCCAGCATGTACTATTAACAGAAGATTGGAGTATTCAATTTGATTTTTATAAGTTCAATTCAGTACTGTAATGCCTTTAAAATATGTGAGTAATTTTCTCGTAGTTACAAATTGTCCTAATTTTTTATACCAAAATTT